GATTTTTGGTTAATAACACACACCGGATAAAAGTCACGAATCCATACCAAATTACACTGGAATCATCATTAAACTGTAGTATATGCTTACATGTTTGATTAGGTTTTCCATTCGTCTGCTTCGCTTCTTCAGGATCTACTACGAGAAACAGACAAGAAAACAAATTGAGGAACAGATTCACAAAAGTTCAGAGGAATCTAAACGAAATGAGTAAAGAGTTTCTTCGATCAATAACTTACTTAGAACGCGACAGTTGTTTTCTTAGAGCGGTTGATACCAGAGAGAGTGAGAGAATCTGTAACTTGGGGCGCAGGATTGGCTTTGAGGATTTAGGGTTCCTTTTTCTTTAGGAATAATTACACATACAAACCCTTTATCTTAAACTATTAACACTTACATATACATACTTTGTTAAAGAAGCAATCTTTCACAACTCTAATCGTAAAAATCTTTTTCACCCTTACAATTATCTAAACAATTTTCTTTTTGGTAGAGTAGATCCTCATAATCTATTATATAAACTAAAATGTATTTATTAATTCTATAGTAGTAAAAATCAATTGACATAACCATATTTCTAAAATGTTAAAAGGAATAAAACAATATTATTTTTAAGAGTTATATATTTCATAAAATATATGAAAAACTTCTTTCCTTTTAAAAGTGGTTTGTAGCTCAATATAAACAACATCTTACGTACTTCCAATCCAGCTTCATTTTTTTAACCACACATTTAACTTATAAAATTATTTTAATAAATAATTGCATTTTCTCACATTGCTAACTACTTTGACTGAACAAACCAATGGCTTTCCTTTATGGATTATTAGATTATTTGTCATTTCTGGTCAAATATATGAGTGGTAATAAGTTTTGTATCAATTTTTTATTTTAGTTCTTCTAATATTTATTTATTTTATTGTATTGAACAATTTTTTTTTAATTTTCGTTTTATGTAAATTTTAATTTTTGTGATGTGTGATAAAAATTAAATGAATTATTAAACTTTAGTTTTAATGTAATAACTCTTTTTTTGATGAAGTGAATGATTTAAAGTGATGATGTGGATACCTTAAGAGGAGAGAAAACTCTCTCATTATATAGTAATAGATTCGTTATATCTTTTGTTATAATAATATCAATATAGATTGTTAAAAAAGGAAAATTGCAAAAATACCATTTTTATGTGCATGTTTGCAAAAATGACACTTAGAGGTGTTCATTTGCAAAAATGCCACTAATTATAGATTT